GTGAAGATTGCCCAGAAGATGTAAGACAATGAGCAGCTTGTGATAAAGAACTAATGATAGGGTACTACACCCACAACATAAAGTACATTCAAATTTTGTCAGTGTTTTACAGTTTCTACCACCTGTGCCTGTTAATCTGCTTCAATTTCAATAGAAAACATAAAAACAAGATATTGTACTGATTGTAACATGTGTCTATGGTCATTAGGGTTGCAATTGGATCACATTTCTAAAGAAATTGCATTATCACTCATAATTACTGTTAGGAATATATGGCACAAGACGCTATAAAGAACAAACACGTACAATTAATGGCACAGCAAAAGGTCTGTCTCAGCAGATAGAAATTATTTACAACTCAGGCAAATGCTGATTTCCATCTCTTTGATAGTAGCTACAGGTTGACACTAAGAGCCATTTTCTATTAGGAAAACATTTTCAGTTGCAAAAATTGAATATTCAGCATTCAAGTGAAACTACACTTTTCCTAAAATGCAGCACAGTGAACTCTGTGTACTACACCTTGCACCTGGTGTATTTGCATAATTATCCTTCATTACATGAAAACCAAGTAGTAGAGCAGCAGGAATAGTTGGTAGGTGGTATAAATGCGGATCAGTAGTCCACTGGAATGGATATCAGCGCAGGCAACCCAAAGGGCCACTCAGCCCTCTGCTTTAAATGCATCTGTAAGTTCATTACAAAAATAACAATTACACGGTGATGACAAGCTAGAACGGTCAAGCAAAGAGTTACTACATGTAAGTGTATCAAGTGTAACACTGATAAATGATTCTTTAGTCTCTAGTGTCAACAACTGATTGTTGCATTATCATTATCATTATATAACTCATTAAACATCACATCATTAGGTACCTAGAACTCTTTAGTTTTATAAAATGAATCCAAACAAAAAAGCAATATGGCACTTAAAAAGTTTCACACTGCAACACCAAAGCCTGGTGGTAAATGTAATCCATGTGGAAGCTATTCAATTCCTGGTAAACACACTTACTCCTGAATTGATGGTAGTGGTAATGCCCAGCAAAGTGGACAACAACTTGTGTCTCTGATTGCTTAAAGATCATCAGCTAGTTCTATGTGTTGATTTTGGAATAGATTTTGGCAACAGGTATTGCAAGATGAGAAGAGAAGCTGCAATCTCATGTCTTGGACTATAGCTAAGCCTCACCTTGTACCTCACCCACAGGGAACTAGAGGTAGAGACAGAGGGCAGTGTGTTTTTATCTGAGGTCACCTACAAAAACATGCCATTGGTAACTCATCATATATGAGGGGTTGGGGACCTGGGGACACAACAGGGTGTTATCCACATAGGATAAGATGAAATGCAAACCAAGGTCATTTGGCAGTTGGAATTTGCTGTGCTATGGCCTTTATCATGTGCCCATCACTTCTTCTTTTCCCATCCATTTAATATCTCTCTTCCTGCAGTTTAAATTAATTTAAATTATAAATCATCAGAGGCAGGTGTAACTGAACAGAGTGAAAATTAGATGAGAAACCACATCATCAGGGTAGGCACTTATTCTGTACAAACTGTACCTTGTTAAAACTGTGAAAATAAATCTATCTACTTCATTCATCCATATCCAATGCTTATTTTTGTTATCTTGTCATAATATTAAAGCATGTCACAGTGTTGGCTGTCTCCCCTGGCGACAAACAGTGTAGGCTGAAGAGACGCTGATGACAATGCCAGCAAGTTATTGTGGTTGTATCAAAAAAGCTCCCAAATGTCTCTTGTCTGTTTAACACTAAACAAGTGAGCGAGTACTGTCTCCTTCCTCCTATCAAGCAGCCCCTGAAGGTCTGTGCACTGTGATGTTAGAGAACAACCAACCTCCGAGCACCATATGGAGACAAACACAGCATAAACAGGTTCCTATATGGTCAATGGCAATCCTGAATTAAATTATAACTATAGATGCATATACAACCTATACATGCATATCCACACATACCTTGTGCCTGTGTGTGTACTATCAGTAGAAATTACAGTAGGGTGAAACACAGTATAATACCATCATAGGGTGACACACTGATACATTGGGCCTTCAGTATGTCATGTGAATGGCTTCACTTTTCCACTGGTCTAAATGCAATGTCCACCCTCCGCCCCAAGCACTGAACCTTCACTGACTTGAACTGACTGCACCTGCATGATCAGCAGAAATGGATGAGTGCAACAGAGTGCAGGAGCTCAAAAAGCTTTATGAGGAAACGAGAATGCTTTTGACAACTACAACAGAAGCTTTTCGGTGGCCAATTCGTATGATATATATATTTAATTAGTCAGAGTGCTTTAATTTTAAATCAATTTAATAACCAAAATGTCTGACATGTATGTTTGATTAAATCAGATGATATCATATTCGGAAAGTATTACTGTACCATGCCATCATGCAAACAACAACTATGTACAGTACAGGTAAGCTATGTACACGTAAACTTGTTTTTTCTAGTGCTGTTTGGTTATAGCAATTTGTTTTCCCTTGAACTGAGGAAGAAAGTCACAAATTACTAAACTTTTGTTCTAATTTTTTGAACAAAACCACAATAATATCCTGCTTTTCGGAAGGGGTATAAAATGCTTTCTTCCAGCATTTTATCCCACAATGTAATGTGAAATGGGATAGGTTGGTTGCTGTAAATGCACTATGGAAAGAATCCCTGGCTGGCTACAAATGTAAAATGTTGTTTAAAGTTAAAATGTAAATGAAAAAAGCAAACGACCAGGTTGATAGAGGTTTTTTTTTTTAAATCATTTTACATAGTCATTTTATGGTGACGTTTCAGTGGTTTTTAAGGCTACCATTTAAGAAATGCTTTTGGTATCTTTATTTGATACCACACTAGTTTATGAGATATTGTAATGAAATGATTAGTATACCTTCCTGCATGTTGTTATTTTCAGCTCAGTTATTTTCAGTTTCACTTCCAGGTTCACTGGATGTGAATATGTGGATATCCATATTGCAGAGGCATTTCCAAAAAGAAAGCCTAAAAATGTTTTGCAGACAAAACTGGAAACTATTTGCATCATTTATAATTCATGTTGGGGAAACTTTAGTGAATCAATAGGTACCAAAACTAAACTGCTTCTCCCAGCAAACTACTTCTATTTTAAAAACCCAGCCGTTTACAGGCTACATACAATACCTGACAAGGGAGCCTAGACTGATTGGTTTATGTGCTACAACACTGATGTTATTAAGTATGTAACTGTACTTGTTACATACAATGGATGATTGCTCAGATTAAATTCTTTCCACAATAATTCTGTGTTATTTGACTGTGTCTCTGTCTCTTTCCCTCTCTATAATAAGCTATCTTGATGGGCTCAGGACAACACAGGTGAGCTCTGCACCTCGCTGCTCATTATCCGGACGGACAGGTAGTCAGGAAAAATGTACACAGGAGAGCAGATCAGCTTATTGAGATCTGTCGTCATGGTGACTGCTACAACTGCTAATGAGACCTTGTCATCCATCACTATCCAAACCACTGTCTGTTAGAATATATATGAAAATATCTGGCCCTGCTTGTTTTGGTTAGCTGGCATTTCCACTGTGGAAGACATAATCGCATGCTTAAGCACAGTATAAGGGGTTATGGTCAGACAGCTTCCACAGTGGGTGGCAGGCTATCTTAAAATTACTCTGCAGTGGTGGTCCAGCAAGGTTTAATATGAGATAATATATTTTATACTGGTGCACAGAATAGATAACACTCTTTCTCACCACATTGGGAGAGATATAACCTGACTGCGCCAGATGGTTTATTACACAGAACCATCTGGGAAGTCATTGTTGGAAATGTTTCAGAAAAGTACCATAACCGTCTATCGTGGGCAAACTTCAACCAATCAGATCAATGAACCATATAAAGTAGTTAAACCAACACTCACCAGTTGGGAGAAAAGCGAAAAATGTATTTTCCATCAATAAAAGCCTTCAGTGCCATCCTTTGCTCTTCTTTCAATAAAGAAATATTCTCCAGTTCTGATATAACTTATGCTAGCAGCATCTATGATAACCTCTTTACCACCTCACACACAAAGCATTAAACCGTGCCAGTAGCTCATGTCATAGTTGACAGCAGTTCCTCAAAAGACCCTGACTGCACATACTGAAGGCTGGCAAATGATGCTGATGCTGATCTCAGCTGCCTCGCAAGGTTAGGAGAGACAGGTATATGCAATGAATTGAACAGCTCAAGATAGCACTGGCCAAACATGCCCACTCCTACTCCGCTGACCCCTTTGAACTACCACTCAGCCTTCTTTGGGCCTCGGATTTTGGTCTTGTAAAGTTACTAAATAAAATATTTATCACAAAATGCAGAAACCTTTGAGAGTGGTCACATACAATGATAAACAATACTGAAAAGTATTTACTTAAACTAAAAGCCTTGATGTACCTTGGGTAGTGAAGGGATAGGCTTGCACTATGATTTAGTCATATTACACAAAAGTACCAGGGGATCATACTAGTAACAACTGTCTTGGCTCCAAATGTGACAAGTTCTAGCTTTAGCCAAAGCTGAATTATTTTCGTGCCTTGATGCACAGGAAATGTGCTGTATCATTCCTAGTAATTCCATCTCACTTCACACATGGAAAATGGGGTGAACTGTGAGGAGAAGATGTGTGATTTAACAAAACCCTACATGGGGAAAGAGATAAGAGAGAGAAGAAAGGGAGGAAACTGTGAGAAAAGAACAGAGGTGAAGGAGAGAAAAAAAGTAGTGAGAAATATTACATTATTATACATAAAAATAGGGGAGACCCCTCAAAGATAGCGGATAGATTGACGATACAATGAAATAGCCTGGGTATAAACCAACTCAGAGAGGTGGATAGAGACCAGGATATGGTACCTTTTATCTAATGGGCTAGATAAAGTCTTGCTATTCACACGGTCTCTCCACATAAACCTCAATACTGTTCAGGTAACAGGAAGAATAAAGAGACCTACCTGTCCTATCTCGGATGGCCAGGTTGTTCCCTTTCTTTAGGACGATATCCAGCTGGTACATGGCTGGACTGGGAGGTTGAGGCGGGGGCTCTGCATTACTGGGCCCCACTATGTTGATGCCCTGTAGAGAGAAGTTACATGAGTTATGTTTGTTTTTATGAGGACAAAGAGAGGAAACTGGTCAACTGATAGGGCTCAGCAGAAGTTGACTCAACACTGTTTACTTCAATATCTTTGAAGACTGACTGCTTTAAAATGGTTACTTGATAACTTGATAATTTTTGTCTGAGTCAGAACCATCAATATTTAGAGACAATGAATGTTAAACTTGAGGAAATGGCATTTTGTTGTTTTTCATATTGTTTGTGTATGTGAAAAATGCCCAAAGGAACAGACCTTTACAAAAGGTAAACAGAGAAATTGCTCATGTTTTAGAAAATGATTATTTGTGCATTATATAATATATGTTGCAGGAGTAGTTTGATAAATAATCCTAGCACGCATGCAACTTCTTTGGGAAGCTTCTGAGCTTCAGGCTCTTGAAAGGGGTCATCTTGGTGGCTTTTCATGTCACGCTGCAGCCCTGAGGTCAGTGCTATACTCCACTTTGACACTCCACTTTGACAAGGAGCTCCCACTGGCTCTAATCGTGGTTCCCGTCGTAGCCAGAGGGCCATTAGCAAGCCACATGATGAACAAGGCTATACTCTAAGGTCCACTACAACTTACTTTCTTTCTCTACCTCTTGCTGATCTTATTCTCATTTCCGCTCTCTTCTCCATTAGACAACCCGTGCGTGGGCATTCCTGTCATGTTTCCCCAGCTATCGTACTCTGAGATGAGGCTCAGAATAACTATAAAAGAGCAGGGAAATGCTTGTGGACCACTGGGAGGCTACTAACAGACTGCCAAGGCTAGCATAAGAGAAACTCCCACTAGAGAGGAGCAGAAGAGCAGAGAGATCTCCAAACAGCTAAAAACAGTATAAGGATGCAAAATGGAAAAAGGGGAAAGAAGACCCACAAGGAGACTCTCTATTAACACCTAATGAGGCTGTCAAAAAACTTCCTGTAATTGTTAATAACATTATTTCCCTCCAGAATAATGCTGGACTTCCCTAAAAACAACATGACTGTCTACGAAAATCACCTAAAACAGTGAAGGATGGAGTCTCCTGCATTTCTTTGTGTGAAGATGCTACAAACTTATATGTTACAAACACTTTTATGTTGCGTGCAAACAGAATATGCCCAGAAAATGCATTTAACACCCTATTTTTAGAAGTGTCATAATGGTGTTATGGTGGAATATGGAGGTGCAGCATTGTTCTTCTATTCTTTAGAGACAGCCCTGCACTGAGACTACAGGTTAATAATAGTGAGTATAATTGCACTGTGGTCCATTTGGTCTCACTGTGATTATCTTGTGCTGCCCTCAAAAATTCCAAACATAATCTATCTTGGATATCATGCTTAACTATCACTTTCTATGCATGAGGAAATGGAGATTGGTAAATATGCCACTTGAGAAATAAACAGATACAAATTAACTGGCATTTGGAGCAGACATTGTAGGAGACGTGTGTATTATATTATGCCGTTCACTGAAACAGAAACACAAAAGGCAATCCAAAAAACCAAAGTACTATTAAATTACACTTCAACACTGGCAGCCCACTGACACTGGCAGAAGAGTATTATTACCACTGTCACCACATTAAGAGCAATAATTAATTAATAATTCAAATATCTATGATTACAGATATCAAAATATTTATATGCAAAGGGTTGTACAGGCTGTACACAGCAACAGTTTAAACCACAGCAGCTGGGTGATACATGTGGTGCTGTGTAAAACTCTCCATGGAAAAGTCAGTCCAAAACAATTTTAGCTTCACAGCACCTGCTGTCAAACAGACAAAGAGGGAAAGGGAAATAGAGTTCATCTCTTGGGGAAAAGAAAAAATTGAAATAAATCTAAAAGACCAAAATGTAATCTGTCAGGAAACAGGTGCAACAGAGCAGCAAATATCTAGATAAATCTAATGTGAACATTCAAGGGCAGTCGGAGAGTTAAAGCTGTCTTTGAATAGAATAAACTTGGGGTCAACAGTGCATGTGAGTCACTGTAATTGAACTCTGTGTTGCGCAATTGCAGGGCTCTGACCATCTAACATTAAGCCATTTTTCCTATAAACTTGACTAACAAACAGTGACAAAGAGACACACAGAGCAAAACAATGTCGAGTCGGGTCGAATCAGAACACACAGTGATTAAGAAAAAAAATCCCCAGACACACTGTGCCCACAGCAAATGCTAGTGCACGTGTTTTTTAATTCTCTGTTGCACATGTATAAAATCTTTAGTACTTTTTCAGAATGTCAGTATTTACTGTGTGTATGCTATACAGTATAACTAACAGACACAGATACACAAGTTAAACACACACACACACACACACACACACACACACACACACACACACACACACACACACACACACACACACACACACACACACACACACACACACACACACGAGCACAGGATTTGAAAAGGCCTGTCAACATCTTTGAGTGAGCAACACTTGATAGGATCAATGAAGTCAAAACCATGTACAGAAAGAACAAAACAACCAGTTAGACTCAGGATAAAGATTAGGGTAGTTTCTAAAAAGGGGTCAAATCTGAAACTGCCTCTGATTGTTACAAAGAGAAAAGCTTTAAGCACTGCCAAAATGCAAACAGCAAATATACAGTATAGCAGTATATTGGTACATTTTATTTTATTTTTTTGACTGAAAACTATGAAGAATTCTATAAAATGGCTGAGGCGTTAGTGGAGAGAGCCACGCACTTCAAAGACACAGACGACACACACATTCACAGTGACAGTAATAAGAAGAGGAGAAGAGAGGAAAGAAAGAAAAGGCAGCCAAGGTCCATCCCACTCCACCTGCTCTGTGTTTCATGGTTCCCTGAAACTGACAGCTACTACAACCCAATTCTCTGTCTCTGTGCAGTCCCAGAGGTGTAAATATTCTGACAGGAGACTTTACAGATCAACAGAATGGGTGTATGTCAGTGCTTATTTATTCTGCTGTCACACATGATATACACACACACACAAACACAATTTCATACATTTTGAAATGTAACTATTGTCATTTAAGATTTGTATGCATAATAAAGATAATTTGAACATACACATTTAAAGAAATATAAACAAAGGCCTGTTTGAATCCAGCAGCAAAATGTAAATACAGGAAAGAAAGGAGCTCCATTACAGCAGCATGTGGCACCAATCCAGTGAGATTCAACTACCAGAGCACTTTACATTTACATTAAATAATCCCTGGAGAACTTTACTGGAAAGTGCTCTGGATATTTGGATACAAGCCTTCAGCATTTCACAAAAACCCTTCTGCCCGAATCCCAACTGAATCCATTCAAATATCAATCAATACCAATTTCCTTTTCCATTAAGTAAACACAACTTTGATTGATAAATGGGGTTCTCCGTTGCATTTCAAATATTGATGGCAACCTTGAATCATTTCATCATCTCCAGGGGGCTGTATGTATGTATGTATGTATGTATGTATGTATGTGATCCATACACAAAGAGTGTGTGTTTTGTTGCCTGTTCCTTAATGTTTCTTTGTGTCTATATGTAGAGTTATCAACAATGACTAAGAGACAAGAGAGCTGATCCTTCATCAATAAATAAAACAGATTATGTATCACACTTCTGAAAAGAGAGTAAATAGTCAATAGGATATTCCAAACCAAGAGACTCCGGCCAGACACAATGCATATTATTTGCTGCTTCCAGTCCAAGAGGAAGGGCACAAGAGGTTTAGAAGTAGATTATCTGGATATACTGCATACGCATCAGTTCAGCTCCAAGGTATGTTATGAAGCTATAAAAACCACTAAGTCAAACCGCCTCACTTCTATTGACTACCCTGAATCTTAAAGTCCCCCTCCACTCAAAAATATGTTTGTTTTGTACCTACAGTTGAATGAATGAGCTTTACTATACAGAATGATGAGTGTGCAGAGTTTCTGAATTTTGTCAGTTGAATCAGATTTGGCTGTTCAATACTCAAGTGTGGTGTGGAGACTTGTAGCTTCAAGTGCACTTATACTGAGAATGACCTTTGCAGTGAAGTAGGAAACACTTGTTATATTTATAGATTCAAGATTTTTATTAAAGATGAAGGAATATATGTAATTTCAAAGACATTAACAAGACTTTTATCAAATTATTATTCAAAGTAGAGCAATTTACGTATGTGTTAAAACATGTCTGGAGCTGATCTTTAATAACAGGTACATTGTACAAAGAAAACTCACAAAGATCTACACACACAATGCCATTGCTTAATCAGAGTAATGGCTTCAGAAGTACAAAATGAAATTGAATTTAACTGAGAACTACCAGCAGTTTTGTTGTTGAGCTGGTGCATTTTATACCCCAATTTCACTGACACATTTGTGCAGTAAACTAAAACAGAATCAATTACCCTTTATCACCACTTTTTGTGCTTAAGTGGAACACAAGTTTTGGCCTTTTGGGTCAACATCTTGCTCCTGAACTTTTATTTTTGGCCACACTTTCTCAACTCCAGCTAGCAATATCAGTGTGGCCATGTGGCATCTGGCAGCTCATAATGTTCAATTTCTTTTCAGCACAAAGTGTGAACAGGCACTAGTGGCTCTTTGCCAAGGATGCACTCACAACCCACACATGAGCCATAACTTTCCACTCCCTGACAAAGGTTCTTCTCAGGTTCTGGGTGAAAATGGCCAGCTGAAAAGGTGATAATATTGTAAAATCGAGTAGCTTCTGTGAGTGATCTATTAAAAAGAAATTAACAAAAAAAAAAACAAGATCCTGGAAGTCGTGCTTGATATTAAGTATTGCAGATGACCATGGAAAAAACAAGGCACCCCATCTTCAGGGGAAATAATATTATAAATGTATTCTTCGAGCATATAGGCAATCAAACAGACCAACAGGAATCCACTCTAGGTCCTCAGAGTCACCACTTGATCTCAAGGAAGACTTCCAGAATCTGTTTTTTTGTACTTTCACCTGCCCACTAAAGAGAGATAA